AATCGAGGCATTGCATCGATTATCATTAAGCGACGCGTTATTTTCTTTGTTCCGCGTCGATTTATTGTTTCAAAACGCGTTATTTTCTTTGTTCCGCGTCGATTTATTGTTTTAAATATTATAATTCACTTTTAATGAATCGAAGCAATGCTTCGATTACGATTAAGCTACACTTTTATTTTTATATAAGTACTCGCTTCCTTTCCTTTTCCTTTTCTTTTTTTTATTATCACCTCAACACTCAACTTCTCAACCTCAACTTCAACACTTAACTTCTCAACCTTAACTTCAACACTTAACTTCAACTTCTCAACCTTAACACTCAACTTCAACTTCTTAACTAACCTTAATACTCAACTACAACTATATTCAACTTAAGTAATTATTTTCTTTTTGATTCTTTGCTTTTTGATTCCTTGCTTTAAGCTAATTATTTTCTTTATTTAATAATGTCGATTCCTTTTTTTTATAACGCTATGGTCGAGGTCAACCTTTTTAGCACTAATAGCAACAAATCAATCAACGAGATACTTAATCGCTACAAGGATTTCGTAGTCGTTTATACTGATAGTAGCGTTATTAATTCAATGTTTACTTGCTATAACGAAGAGGATACCGCTTTGTTTTTAAGACTAATCGGCCTCGATTACGAATAAAAGGGTCGCAAAGGTTTTGTCGACGAGTTCGGCATCAAGCATTACGGTGCTAACAAAGTTAATAATAATATTTATATTTTATAATCACTAATTGATTTTTTATTTAAAAGGAGAGCGCTCAAGTCTTTTATTTCTTCGATTACTTTGTCTCTTTCTTTAACGCAATTAGAAAGCAATTCACTTATAAAGATGTTAAAGTTCGATTGATCTTAAGTGATCTTACTCTTAAGCTTTTCGATAGCGATCATGCTAAAGCTAAAAGCATCTTAAAAGAGCTATTGATATTATACCCTTTTACTATCGATAGCACTTTAGTATACAAACGCTTTACTTTTAAGTTCTCGGATGAAAATGAGTTTAAGTAGAGCAATAAGTGCTAAAAGCTAAGAGAGCTACTTAAGTTAAACGAGATTTATCTAAACTATGCTTACAAGCAAGAGCTTAAGCTAAAAGCGGAGACCGAATTGAACGTATTTTACGTAACTGCAGAAAGACGGGTCTTTATCAACTCTTTATAACTAGTAGACTTAAGCTAAAGAACAAATCTTTACTAACCCTTAGGCTTTTGTAACTAGTAAATTTGACTAATACTCTGAGTCTTTGATTAGTAAATGTAATTAGTAAATGTGATTAGTAAATGTGATTAGTAAACCTGATTAGTAATTATGCATATGCATATTTTTATGTATATAAACCCTATAGAGTAACCTTACGCCTTATAAGGTTTCCTTATAAGGAGGGGCAGAATTTTGTACCCCCCGTGGGTTCCCCCGTAAGGAGGACTCAAAACTCCGTGGGGCCCCATGGGGCCCCATGGAGCAGCCTAACGCAAAGTCACTTCTTTTTTCGTTAAAATCTTTTGAATTTGTTAAATCCTTTAATCGTATTCTTATAAGCTTCGGACTATCTTTATTCTACTTCGACTTTTAATTAGAACTCTTACTTTTATCGGAAACACTTACTTTAGAAATGCTTTTTAAAATTAATACCGGTCTTAAGATTTATACTACTCCTTTTCCTTTTGCTTTTCCATTAAGCCTTGCGCTAGTTATAATCGACTTTGCTATTTTTTACGCTTTTATAATTACTCGTATGCTATTGCTAAGTGCTTTAAGAGCTCTTTGCTTTAGTAGTGCTAATATTACCGATTTTATTAAAAAGTACGAAGAGATTTATAATGACTTTAGTATTTTTAAAAACGATCGGTTCGTTAAGCTTTTTCGTTATTGCGATAACTCTCGCAAAAAAGTTATTAAAAGTTTGCTCGAATGAAAAGCTAAGAAAGATTAAGCTGCTTTCGTTAAAGCTTTAAGAGCCGAGTTTCGTAAAAACGATACTTAGCAAATTAAAAACTCGGTCGCTTTTTTACGAGAATTTGTTATGCAAGAACGGAATATTAATAACTTAAAAAACTATTATCGCATTTTCTTTCGAATCTTCGAAAGGCTTATTTTAATGCACTTTTTAAGCAAAACCGAACAAGGCCGCTTGTTTTTTCTCGAATTGCTTGCTAGAATTCGAAATAAAACGATTAAGCATTATAAGATCGACGAACTCGACTTAGACTCTTATGCCGCTTTCGACGACTTCGTTGCATTCGCTTTTAAAACCGATTAAAGTATTAAGATTATCGAAGCTATAAACGAGAAAAGTCTTTTTTAATTAATTTTATTAAAGATATTCGGACTTTAATTAAAAAACATATTAAGCTAGCGAGCGTACTTAAGTCTGTTAAAAAAGCTTTAGTAATAATGCCGTTTACTTATAAACTACGGTTTACAAGTGAAAAAAAGGAAATTGATAAAGTAAGTTTTATAATTAAAAAGTTTTTTAACTTGTAAATTAATACGATTTATAATCGAATTAATTATTTCGAAGATTAAGTCGCTAACTTAACTTCTTAACGCTTTATTTAGTCTTAGCTTTAAGTTCGATTTAAAGATTACGATAAAGTTTTTATTAAGTATACCGCTTAAAATGCTCGAAGTAAAGTTAGCTTTAAAAATAGAGTTTATATTGCTATTATCGGCTACGGATTATAAAAACGAAAAAGAAAAAAAAGTAAAGGATACGAAAATCAGATGCAAGACTATAGCTTTTGCGAGAACTTTAAAAACACAACTCAAGCTTTTTATTAATATTAAGATAAATATAAGGCTTTTAAAAACATAATTAATAAAAGATATATTTATATTAGTGATTACGGACGCTTTTACTTAAAACTTAAAAAGATCGATGCTTTTATTATTTAAAAGAAGCAAAAAAAGACTTAATTCAGATTTATCGTATTAAACGTTTATAAGACGAAATACAATAATATTTTAAAAAATCGATTTATTAGCGGACCTAAGATTTATAAACACTTGCTTTCTTATTAACAATTAATCTAATAACTAACTTAGTATTAGCTCGATTTAAATGCATAATAACTAATTAATCAGCTAAAAGAGCTTACTATTATCTTTAAAAGATTAGTCGATATTAAAAATATTAATGTTATAAAGTGGATTAACACATTTAGCTACTTATCTAGCATAAAAGTCGCTTCGATCGAAATTAACGCCGCCGTAAAAGATAAAGCCAAAAAGCCTTTCCCGCTTTCGGAAAGATTTAAGCTTATTAAGATTAAAAAAAATATCCGATAATAAAAAGAGAAAAATTACGGCACTCTTAAGGCTCGTGCTTCTTAAGAATCGGATATTATTATAAAAATAGACTTAAAAGATAAATTATTCGATAGTATAATTAAAAAAGAGTCTTTTAAATCTTTTAAATTAGCTAAAGCCGACGAGGTTATAAAAGATATAAAAAGAAAAGTTGAGATCATTTAGCGAATGTTAAAAAGAAGGAAGAAAAGGATTTATAAACGAAAGAAGTTTATTAACTTTTACGTTATTATTAAAGCTTAAAAAAAGCAATGGCGGCGATTATAAAATCGAGAATCGAAGTTTAAATTAAAGATTTATTCGAATTTAGCTTTCGCTTCGACAAGCTATTAAGCTATTA